CTTAGGAAAAAAACCACTAAGCAAAGCAGACAATTAAACAGAATGGAAAGATAGAGACGCAACAGCAGAAAGATAACATGTCAACAACAAACCAATATATAACGGTTATAACCATTAATGTAAATGGTCTCAATTCAACAATTAAAAGAATCAGACTGGCAGAATGAATCAAGAAACAACATCTAACCATATGGTGTATACAAGAAAACCATTGAATCCAAAAGGAAACTCACAGACTGAAAGTCAAAGGATGGAAAACAATACTTTATGCAACAGGAACCCCCTCCCCCCCCCAAAAAAAAGCAGCGGTAGGTATTCTGTTTGCAAACAATGTGAACTTCAAACCAAGAATGATCCTAAGGGATAAAGAAGGTCATTACATACTGGTTAGGGGAAAACTTCAAGAGGAAGAGCTAACAATCTTAAATATATATGCACCAAATTCCAGAGCACTCAATTATACAAAGCAAGTATTAATAGAAATGAAAAATCAAATAAGCAATAACACAATTATAACAGGAGACCTTAACACACCTTTGACACCAAGGGACAGATAAACCAGACAGAAAATCAGCAAAGAAATAATAGAGTTGAATCACACCTGTGAACTAATTAATCTTATAGACATATAGAGAGTGTTCCATCAAACAAAATCAGAATACAAATTCTTCTCAGCAGTACATGGAATATTCTCTAAAATAGAAGATATACTAGGCCACAGAACATATTTAAATAAATGCAAAAGAGATGAAATTATCCCATGCATGTTATCAGATCATACTGCCATGAAACTAGAAATTGATGATTAAAAAACTGCAAAAAGTCAACAAAACACATAGAAATTGAATAATGCACTCTTGCACAATCAGTAGGTTCTAGGGGAAATTAAAGAACAAATTAAACAATACCTAAAAGTAAATGAAAATACAAATTCAAATTACCAGAATCCGTGGGATGCAATGAAAGCAGTCCTCAGAGGAAAATTTATTGCACTGAGTTCCCACATCAGGAAAACAGAATGAACACAAATAAACAACCTGATGCTACACCTCCAGCATCTAGAAAACGAAGGGCAACTCAAACCCAAAGCCAAAAGAAGGGGGGAAAATTATAAAAATCAGAGCAGAAAATAATGCAATAGAGACTAAGAAAACAATCTAAAGAATCAATGAATAAAAGAGTTGGTTCTTTGAAAGAATAAATAAAATTGCTAAGCCCCTAGCCAAACTCATTTTAAAAAGGGAAGAAAAAGCTCTACTTCTTGCAATAAGGAAAGAAAAAGGTGAAATCCCTACAGACTCTGTAGAAATATGAAGATCATCAACACCTATTTTGAAAACCTCTACTTACATAGGTTCGATAACAGAGAAGGAATTGACAGATTCCTAGAAACATGTGAAGTACTAAAGCTGGGTCAAAAAGATGTAAAACTGTTCAATAACCCAATTTCTATTAGTGAAATTTAAAAATGTAATTAGGTCCTTACCTACAAAGAAGAGACCAGGCCCAGACAGATTCACAGTAGAATTCTACAAGAACTACAAAGACTTAATGCTGACACTCCTCAAACTCTTCAATGAAATCAAAGGGGAAGCAATTCTTCCTAAGTCATTCTTGAAAGAAAATATTACTCTAGTACCAAAACCTGAGAAAGACCAAACTAAAGAAGAGAACTGTAGGCTGATCTCGCTATTGAACACATATACAAAAATCCTCAACAAAATATTGGCAAACAGGATGCAGCAAATCATCAAGAAGGTTATATGCCATGACTAAAGTGGGATTCATCCCAGGCACGCAGAGATGGTTCAACATATGTAATCAATAAATGTAATTCACCACATCAATAAAGCCAAAAGTAAGAAACACATGATCATTTCTATAGATGTAGAAAGAGCTTTTGGTAAGGTCCAACATTCATTCATGATAAGAAACTTACAAAAAATTATCCCAATATGATAAAGGCCATCTATAACAAACCAACAGCCAGCATCATATTAAATGGCCCAAACCTGAAGGCCTTTACTTTAAAATCAAGCACAGGACAAGGGTATCCCTTATCATCGGTCCTATTCAGCATAGTACCAGAAATACCAGCCAGAGCAATTAGACAAGAGAGAAATAAATGGGTTAAATATAGGAAAAGAGGAAGTTAAATTATCATTATTTGCACATGATATGATATTCTACAGAGAAGACACCCAAAACTCCATTGAAAGACTCCTCGATATAATAAAAAATTCAGCAATGTAGCTGGATACAAAATCAATACTCAAAAATCAATAGCATTTCTAATCACTAAGAACAAAATCACTGAGAGAGAAATAAGAGATTCACCCTTCACACTAGTGTCCAAAACAATGAAATACTTAGGGATTAATCTCATGAAATAAATAAAAGATACACAGAGGGAAAATTATAATACCCTGAATACAGAAATCAAAGAGGATCTCACAAAAATGGAAAGACATCCCTTGCTCATGGATTGGAAGAATGAATATTGTGAAAATGGCCATTCTCCCAAAACTGTTAAACACATTCAATGCAATCCCAATACAAATACCATCAACATACCTCATAGTTTTTGGAAAATCACTCATAAAATTCATCTGGAACCAGAAGAGACCTAGAATAGCAAGGCAAAGGAAGAGGTATCACAATCCCTGACTTAAAGTTATAGTACAAAGTAGTAAAATCAATATAGTACTGGAATAAAAACAGATCTGAAGGTCAATGGAATAGATTACAAGATAAAACCACAACTACCAACACACTCAACTACCTTATCTTTGATTAAGGGGCCAAACATGTTCACTGGAAGAACGACAGTCTCTTTAATAAATGGTGCTGGAAAAAATGGCTCTCCATATTGCGAAAAATAAAGTAGATCTTTGCCTATCACCATGTGCTAAACTGAAATCTAAATGAATCAAAGATCTGAATATTAAAACAGAAACACTAAATCTGTGGGAAGACAAACTGGGTAAAATCTTGAAGACATAGGGGTAGGCAGAGAATTCATGAACAGGAATCAAACCACACAAGAAATATTTCCAAGAATCAATAACTGAGATTATGTCTTATTAAAATGTTTCTGCACATCAAAAGAAATCTCCAGCATAGTGAAAAGAAAACCCACAAACTGGGAAAAAATCTTAGTGAACTGTTCTTAAGACAAAGAAATTCTGTCTAAAACATATAAAGAATTTAAAAAAAATAAGAACCCCAAAATTCAAAGATCCAATCCACAAATGAGTATCTGGGATGAATACATAGTTCTCAGATGAAGAAATATAATGGCAAATAAATACATGAAAAAATGTTCATCATCATTAGTCATTAGAGAAATACAAATTAAAATCATGGTGAGATTCCATCTCACTCCAGAAAGAATGACCAGGATAAAGGAAACTAACAACAACAAATGTTGGAGAGGCTGTGGGGAAAAAGAAACTCTCCTGCACTGTTGGTGGGAGTGTAGACTGGTGCAATCATTGTGGAGGTCAGTCTGGAGATTTCTCAAAAAGCTGGGATTGGAAGTCCCATTTGATCTAGCTATTCCACTTCTAGGCATATTCCCAGAAGAACTAAAAACATCATACCACAGTGATATATGTGCACCCATGTTTACAGCAGCACTATTTGTAAGAGCCAGATCTTGGAAACAACCTAAGTGTCCTAAGTGAGGAATGGATTTAAAAAGACGAGGTACTTTTATACAATGGAGTACTACTCAACTATCAAGAATGATCACATTGAGCTCTTTATAAATAAAATGACACAAAACTTGATACCATACTAATAAGTGAAATAAATCAAGCTCACATATTTAATACCATATAGTCTCCCTAGTGTAAAAAATGGTAAGAATATATAAAAGTATATGGTAATCATGATTCTCCATTACATAGCTTTTAAGCCTTATAACGTCTTCATTCATCAGTTGGAATGGTTTTATCCTGGGTTGTTGATTTTATTGTCTATGATAATATGGACAGCTATTTTGAAGGAAACAAGACAATGTAATAGCCCATGCTGATTTAATATCATCTTGTTTTGAAGTCCTACCATGCTTGTGTTCTTCTGTCTCCATCAGTTCTATCATGTTGTATCTTATTGGATTTTACTATGAGTGATAGTATAAATAAAACTCTTATGGACAAGGAGATAATATAGTAACCATTGTTCATTTTCTGTTATTTGGTTCTGAGTGCCCTGTAATACTTTGATTGTCTTGAATGGTTTTATACTATTTTTTATGTTTGATACTATAATGTATGTAGGCATACTCACATATTTCAAGCAAAGAGACATTATGGTAGGTACTGTTATGTTGGGTTGTCTTGTGGTGAAGTAGTATGTTGCTTAAATTGTTCTGTTCTGATCTGTTTTGTTGCGTCCTCTTTTATCTTAATCTTTTAAAAATAAAAAATTGAAAAAAATCTTCCTTGTTTTTCTAAGTAGAAGCAATAATACTGTTTTCTAAGAAGAAGTAATATATTCTATTATTAGTATAGAGTAACAATTAGTATTATTAGTAATTCTTATTGCTATTATTAGTAATAATACAGTATTATTACTTCTACTTAGAAAAGGACAAGATAAAAAGATAAGAAAATTTCTTTATTTTTCTATATAAAAGTATTGTGACATTTGTTATTCATTATCCACTTCATCAAGAGTCATACAATTTCTTACTTATTTTTTGAAATCCTAAGAACATGTTTTATGCTTAATTTAGTTTTCAGTGCTGTGCAATGCCTTGCTCATAGTAGAAATTCAGGGAACATTTTTTAAATAAATGAAAAGCAAACATGCTATGCTGAGGGAACTACTATTCAGAGCAGTATCAACAAGGTTTTGGGAAGGGGCTGACACAAAGAGATAGTCATAAAGCTATAAATGGCCTGATATTCTTCTATAAGTCAAATAGAGTTACTCAGAAAGCATGCTGCTTATTTTCATGTAATTTTTCTGAGTTGAAATTCTGATCCTTTTCTGTTGGGAGCCGCAGCCCCGAGCCCGGTCGCCTCACTTGGCGGACGTGAGGCCTGTAGTAAAGAGTGAGGCCTGAGGTAGATTACCCCTCCCATCGAATATGTTAGTTTCCTGCTTACCGCGTAAACAACCCGCTCAACAATATAGTCTGCCTGGCAACTGATGATGTTAGCCAATCAGCTTGCCTTGCTTACTTTAACATGATTGGACACTGTACCCGTATATATACCGGTGCCACCCCTGGGCGGAAGTAGAAGCCAGATAGAAGCCCGGAAGTAGAAGCCCAAAAGGAGCCGCGGAGAGCGGACCGGTAGAGGCTTTGGGGCAGGCTGAAGCACAAAAGGAGCCGCGGGGAGCGGACCAAAGGAGGCTTCAGCTGGGAGAACCCAGGGCAGGCTGTACGGAGAAGAAAAATAAAAAGAAAAGGTTGTCCACTACCAGACTGTGTCGTGTGTCCTTCCTGCCGGCCGGGAGCGGACATCGACACTTTTCGAGATCCACTCATGAAGATGGATCCATTTCCTCATCAAGGGTTTGGGTAAATCCTATTTAGCACTTGGTGGGATAATTTATTATTCAACATATAGCACAAATACCTTTTAAAACTTTCTCAGATTCTTTCACACTGTGGGAGACGGACTGGCTGCTAATAGGACATCAACCTTTGAAATTCATTAATGAAATTTCACTTTCCAAACTTCTACTTCGCTTTCTTGAACACTTGAACATTGTCTACTTATAAATAACAGCTCTTTTGGCATTAATATCATGTATAATGCAGAATAAACTGTATATATGTGTGTAATATAAGGAATGTCATTTGGCTTCTATTCAAAGCATTTGCTTCCTGAACCTACATTATCAGTAAGGCTAACCTATTTGTCAGAGACTTCTTACTGGCTCTTCATAGGGACAAATGATGTATATGAATATCATCAAGATGTTTGCAAAGTTGACTACAACATTCTTGTTGCACAGGAAGGCTATTTCTCCAATGAGACCACAGATTGACCTCTGATCAACTTCTGTTTTTTCCAGATCGTTCCTCTCCAGCTGGTTCAGTAATCTGTTGAATAAAAATGTTGTTCAGCAATGAAAAAGGTAAAGCATTGAAACTTTTTATCCACACAAACATTTATATGTTTCATGGTTGATTTTATGCTGATCTACCCTGCTTGAAGCATTTGAATATGCTCTGTTGTGTAGCGTAAATTCTGAGGGGAGAAATAGAATCTGGCTTGCTTGTTTGGTACAAATATTGTGCATGTGAGTCTTCAAAAATGTAACTGGAGAATAAATACTCAAACAAATGATCTCTTCATAGGCTTTTGTGCTTAAACAAAGAACTGGCTGTATTTATTGTTTGATGTGGATGAAGAACAGTTGAAACTGTGTCCCATTATCATACTGTTTTTGAAAAACTGGTATTTCTTTTTATTGAGATAAGTATTTTATCATGGCACAGTAGACTTCATTATTATAAGACAATATTGAAGTATCCTACATTTCTATAAAATTTTACTTTCTATTGACCTTCTTGTTGTGTCTGATCACCTTTCTTTAAAAAGTATATGCATTTATGTTAATGCCAAACTAAGGAATGTATAAAAGTATACTTGTTTTTCCTTGATAGAATTGGAAAGAATTTAGTTTTTCTGGCAGTATGCACTTTTAGCTTTTTTAAAAAATATGAACTTCTTGACTATTTCTTTTCACAAAGCAAGATGTTTTTCTAAAGTAACATTAAAGCAATTTTATTTAATTGAAAACTGGAACCACTGTTTCATGACTTAGGTTTTCTTTGTATTACACCCAAAGTCAAAAGGCAGTAATGATTGTAAAATATTTATTAAGAATGAAAGTACAAAATGGGGTCATAATAGAATACTGACAGATTTTACATTGTTTTCATAAGCATTTTTAAGTTCCCTGAAGACACACATATTTCTTCCAGAAGAAACTTATACCAAATGTGTTATTTTCACATGATGAGCATTCTAAGACAATTTTACAAACCAGAAATCTTTGCATGTGTGAAAATGAGAGAAGAAATTTGCCTACTTACTGACAATGTGGGAAAAATTAGCATTAGTGCACAAGGGAATTTTTGTATATTTATATTAACTATATATCTATTAACTTTAAGCTCTATTTGAGTGAAAAGTTATTTTCTATGGTTTTGATATTAATTGACTTTATAACACTCTTTCAAAATATGTTTATTTGATTTTAAAATTATCCATGGCTCATCATTGTTTTGTACAGTCTGAAGAAACACACTGGTTTCTAGGAAAATTTTGCAAGGGGTACAAGTCAGACATCATGCCAGTAGGGTTAAAAACTTTACTTCTTACAGGAAATATTCTGAACAGAACAAGAACTACCCAAGCAGATCAAAAAATGAGGCAAAAAATAAGAACAGGAGAGAGATTTGTGCTAGGGTGAAGCTTCAGTAATGCAATAGGGAATTTGTGTTAAAAATCAAAGGAGTACCTAGACTTTGTTTACAGCAAGCCAAAATGTAGAGCAAAAAGAGAGGAGGAAGAGGAGCAGGCAGGTTTAGGCAGTTAGCAGTTAAATATCAAACATTAAGTAAAATTCTACTATAATGAGTCATGGACTCATCTCCATTTATCTCATTATTGAGCTCCTTTAGAGGAAATAACAATGGTTGATTTCCTATCAAGTGCTCACTTTTGGTCAAGCTGCCAAGCACAGCAGAGTGAGGTGACGTGTCATGCAATATGCAGTGCTGGGTTGAGGTTCCAATGCACCGTTCACTAGCCCCCAGCGCCAAACTACTTCATCTTTTTAGTTTGTTTTTGCTTTTCCATTGAATTTCTGAAAAGCTACAATGAGAAATGAATAAACGTAAATGAGCATAAAATGTCTGCTGCACAGCAGATGGTCAGTAAACAGTAGCTCTTATGATTCTTTACTCAGGGTTTTTTTAAGTGTTAAATCCTCTAGCACTTATGGCAAATCTGAATAACCTAGAGACAAAGCAAGTAAAAACAAAATGAAGTCTTTATCAGAGAGAAACTCAGCCAGGCACTAGGCAGTATGGACAGATCAAAATCAGTAGTAACTGCGGTAGAATGGGGAGAAACTGAGTAAACGGAACGCATTTTGATTTGTAAAGGGGTCACTGGGTGTTCCAAAGGGAAAATGAGGGAGTAGGGAATGGAAATCATTGGGACCTGAGCAAAGTCAGAGAAGTGCGAATTTACAAAAAGCTGAAAGCACCTGCTCCATAGAAACTCATCTAGGTTTGTCAACTGGTATTACCGAGTTTAGGCCCCTATTATCACTCAGAGGTTCAAACACAGAGGAACCCTTTTTAGGTGTTGGCTGCAACAAACAATAAATTATTTTGGCAGCTTTGGATCTTTTCAGTAAGGCACTTTATAGAAGAAAAAGTTAGACCCTAGGAGAAGTCTGTGAGCTGTTAGGAACTTTATTAGTGCTTGTTCAAGAATTTCTAGTCTCAGAGTTGGAGCTTTGTCTGAAGAGAGTTAGAAAAACCTATGAGTGCATTAGAACATTAGAGAAATGGTTCTGAAAAATTTTTCCTAAACGTTAAAGTTGTTGAAGTTAATTACAAAGACGTAAATGTTTTGCCTTAGAAATAAAAATCTCAGCCCAAAGATTCATTTGTACCAATATGTTTAAACATATGAGTTTTTTACTTTTCTTGGAGGAATTCAAAACACAGGTAAGCAAAAATTATTTATTTAAAAATAAATATAAGCCTAGCATGGTGACCCATGCTTATAATCCTAGTACTCTGGGAGGCTGAGGCAGAAAGATCACAAATTTGAGCTCAATCTGGGCAACTCGGAAACTTAGTGGGACCCTGACTCAAAAGAAATATGATTTTTTAAGTCAAAAGGGATGAGGATATAGCTAAACAAGAAGTTCATAGGTTCAAGCACCAGTGGAAAAAACAACCTTCTTTTAAGGTAATTTTAGCACCACAAGAAGTTGCAAGGACAGACTGGGAATTTGTGTGTACCATTTGCACAACCCCCTTCCAGTAGTAGCATGTGGAATGATCATACTGCCATAGCATAACCAGAAATTGATATTGGTATAATTCACAGAGCTTGTGCCAATTTTATGAGCATTATTTTTATATAAGAAAATACTTACTTTATATAAGTATTTTTATATACTTATATAAGTATATAAGTACTGTATTTGAGATACAGAGATACTGTATCTAACATGCATCACAGAAAGGCCTGCTGGTTTTTATTTTTTCCACACCAAACTTGGAGAAAAGCCCATGGCATAGGGTATCACATTCTGGAGTCTTCGCCACCACTGCATTTCAGCCTGAAGTCTCTCCCCCATGCTTTTTTTTGTAGTTGGCTTTAAACTCTACATAATTTCAGACTCATATAAAAGTTTTATGAATTGTACAAATAATTTCCAGAGAGCATTTACACCGACTCCTCATATATTTATATTTTATCATAATTTTATCCTCTTTTTTCTCCATCTGCATGTGAAAGTACATGCACTCAAACCCAACACACAGAACAAGAAATACACATTAGACTGGGCTCTGCAAGTTATGTGGCCTGTCTGGGTCACTCCCAGTGACCTTCTTTCAATCCAGGGTACTGGGGCTGCCTGAGGTGAGGTCTAGCACACCAACAAACCCTGTGGAGAGTTTAAGATCATTGTTTCCAGTGGTTAAGTGCCTGCCCAGCTTCCAGCCACACTTAGACTAGGGCCAACTAGACCATGCCCAGCAACCTTCTGCAATCAGGGGAAATGAGGGCATGGGAAGTAAGTTCCAGTGCATCAGTGCTTGCCTGGGGAGAGCTTTGGATCATCACCCACAGTGGTTAGGAGTGCACTTAGCCTCCTGGAACACCAGAGGTGGCCTGGGAGGTCATGTGGGCCTGACTGTACCACACTCAGCAAGCTCCATTCAGTCCCAAGAGGTAAGAGGGCATAGGAGGCGATTTCCAACATGCCCAGGGGAAGCTTTGGAAAATCACTTGAAACACAGAAATATAGGAAAATGGCAAGATAAAAGACCAAAATGTAATCTCAAACCTCCTGCCTATTCCAGAAAGCCTAGGCGCCATGCACATAGAAGAAAATATATGCCATACACTTGAAATAAGAGCAACTAAAATAAAGAAGCAACTCTGGGAAGCTTTAAAGGAATTCACACAAGAAATAATCTCCAGGTAAAAGAAGAAAGGATAAAGGTAATCAAAGAAATGCTGAACATATCTAAAGAAGACACAGTTAAAAAATTAGAGGAACAAAGCAAAAAGATGGAATCCCTGGATTAAAGGTACAAGAAACAAACAGAATACATGAAGCAGATTCAAAGAGATATACAGGAAATCAAAAATTCCACTGAAAATTGTCAAAACCACCTGACTAAAAGTGAAGATGGAATTTCAGACCTCGAAGACAAGATTGCAGGAAGTGAACAGGAAAGGAAAGATCTTTACAAATAACAAGGAATCAGGAAATAACAATTCAACAGCTGCAAGATGATACAAAGAAAAACAACGTAAAATAGACATAAATTAAAAAGAAAGGGACAACACAAATGATATAAAGAGGATATTTACAGAAGCAATAGCTGAAAATTTTCCAAACATGAGAATGGAAACTGACATGCAGATTAGTGAAGCATATAGTACTTCAAATAGCCATGACCAAAATAAAATTACACCCAGACATATAATAATCACCATCCCAGAAATCCAACATAAGAATAGAATATTAAAAGCTGTTAGAGAGAAAAGGCAGATCATCTATAAAGGAAAACCTGTCAGAGTTACAGCAGACTTCTCAACACAAACAATGAAGGCAAGAAGAGCATAGAGTGAGATATTTCAGATCCTACAGGAAAACGACTTCCAACCTAGACTGATGTACTGAAAAACTGTTCTTCAAATATGGATGGAGAAATAAGATACTTCCATGACAAAGAACAGCTGAAGAACTTCATGATCACAAAACCAACCCTGCAAAGAATACTGAAAGACAGTTTAGATACACTTAGGAAAAAAAAACCACTAAGCAAAGCAGACAATTAAACAGAACTGAAAGATAAAGATGCAACA